GGCATGAAAGAAGAGGCATGAAGGAAAAGGGAAGAGAAGAGGGAAGGAAAAGGGAAACCAAAAAGGGAAAGGGAAGGGAAGACAAAGGAAAGCAGGCAGGACAGCAGGAAGGACAAAAGGAAAGCCAAATGTAAGGAGAAAAGGAAAGAAAAGGCAAAAGAAGAATAAGCAGAAAGAAAAGAAAGGCAAGAAAAAGAGAAGGCAGGAAAAAAGAAGAAAAGAAAAGAGAACAAAAGACAAGAGAAGACAAGACGAGAAGACACGACAAGACAAGAGAAGAAAAAGGAAAGAAAGACGAGAAGAGAAGAGTGGGAAGGAGAATGGGAAAAAGTAAAAGACTGGAGGAAGAAAGAGAAGAAGAATGGAAACGAAAGGCAAAAAGGAAACATGGGAAAGGAGGAGGAAAAGGAAAGAAAGTGGAAAGAAAAATCAGGAGAGAAAAGTAAGAAAAGAAAGAAGGGAAAGCAAAGGAGAGTAAAAAAGGAAGAAAGGAAAGGCAAGAAGAAAGAAGGGAAGGAAAAAGAAAGGAAAAAGACAAAATTGGGAAAGACTGCCGAGGACGGAGAAGGGAAAGAAAAGGAAAGTAAAACCAAGAAAGGGAAAAGGAAAGGGAAAAGGGAGAAAATGGGAAGTACCCCCAAAAGGAAGGAGAAAAGGTTAGGAAAAAAAAACCCGGAGAGAAAAACGGAGAGAAAAAAGGGGAAAGGAAAAGAGAGGATGAAAAGGGGGAAGCGAAGAGGAAAGAAGGAAAGGGAAGAGGAGGAAGCAAAGGAAAGAGAGAGAGGGAAAGGGAAGCAAGGAAGGAAAGAAGCAGCCCTTAATCACGCTGACACCATGGCAAAACCTGCAGGACAGAGGAAAGAAGAAAAGGACAAAAAGAGCGAAAGAAGGCAAGAAGAAAGGAAAGAGCAAGGGAAGGAGGAAGAAGGAAAGGAAAACAAGAAAGTGGAAAGGGCTTTAAGAAGGAAGAAGAGAAAGAGGGAAAGAAAGAAAGGGAAGAAAACAAGGAAGGGAAAAGGGAAGAAGGCAAGAGAAGAAAAGAAGGAAGTGAAGCAGCCAGGCACAAAAGAAGGAAAGAAGGAAGGAAGGAACAGAAGGCCTGGAGCGAGGAAAGCGAGCAAGGAAAAGGGAAGGAAGGCAGGAAAAACAAGGAAGGAAAGGAGAAACCCTTGGCGGCATGCTTGTCACCTGGTCACAAGGGGACAGCCTGCAAGGAAAGGTGGTGGCTGCCTGTTTGAAAGAGCCGAACCTGCCGCCGGTCACTTCAGAAAGGCACGGGAAAAAAGGGAAGGCACGGAAGAAGAAAGCGAGCAAAGGAAAGGAGAGGAGAAAAGGAGAGAAGAAATGCGGAAGGAAAAGGAAAGGAGAGAGGCAGAGAACAACAGGGAGAGACAGCAGAATCCAACAGAGCCCAGGACAGGCAAGCTCAAGGGAAGGGCAGGCGGCAAGGAAAGCAAGACAAGGCAGCAAAAGCGAAAAGAAAGCGAAACAAAGAAACCAAGAAGCAAGCAAACAGAAAGACGAAAGGAGGCACGTGCAAGAAAAACGGGAAGAGAAACAGGGAGGGGAAAAAAGGCAAGGGCAAAGGGAACGCGAAGAGGGAAGGGGAAATGGGAAGGCAGGAAGAAGGAAAGCCGAACAAGGAGAGCCAAGCAAGACAGTAGAAGGGCATGAAGACAGGCCCGAGAAGCAAGGAGAGAAACACTCGGCAAAGACAGAAAGGAAAGAAATGAGGAAAGGTCAGAAATGAGGAGAGAAATGCAAGGGGAGAAAAAAGGGGAGAAGACAGGAAGAAAAGAGGAAAGAAAAGGGAAGAAAGAGGCCTAAGAAAAGGGGAGAGAAGAAAGGACGGGAAGACAAGAGGAAAAGGAAAGGATAAGGGAAAAGAAGAGGGAAAGAAAGGTGTTGGGCAAAGGAAAGTGAGGAGGGAAGAAAAGAAAGGAAGGCAAGAAGGAAGGAGGAAACACTGGAAAGAGAAGGAGGAAAGGACAAAGGAAAGAAACCCAGACAGAGAAAGGGAAGGGACGACAAATAAGGAGAGGAGGGGAAAGAGAAGCAGGGAAGGAGAAGGAGGAGAAGAAGGAAAGGAGGAGCGACAGAAGGACAGACGGGAAGAAGGGAGGAAAGTGAAGAAGGAAGAAACAAGGAAAGCGAGGCGAGGAAAGAGAACGAAAGGGAAACCAGAAAGGCAACATCGCAGGGAGCAAGCCAAGGAAGAGCAGAAAGGGTGGAAAAGGGGAAGGGAAGGAGAAAAGGAAGAAAAGAGGGAAGTGGGAAAGGAATTCCTTAAGGAGCGGAGAGAGAAGAAAAGAGAAGGAAACCAAAACCAAGGAAAGGAAAGCAAAGGAAGAAGGAAGAAAGAAAGGAAGAGGAGGAAAGCAGAGAAAGAGGAAGAAAGAAAGAGAAAGGAGGAAGAAAGAAAGACCAATAAGGAAAGGAAAGGCAAGAGGAGGGCCAAATGAAAAGGAAGGCAGAAAGCAGGCAAGAAAGCAGGCACTGTGTTTGGACGCGTTGGAAGTTGTCTTTGGTTAGCACTGAGCTGCCCGCTTAGGGCTCAGGGGAGCCTTGGGGCAGGAGCGGGGGCGCCGCGCCTCCGTGACAATAAAGCACTTTTGTGCAGCGCTAGTTGCCTGCTCCGTGCCTCTCTTTGAAGCGCTCCGGCACGCCACGTCTTGCAGTCCCTGTTGCCACGCGGCAGGTGCGGCAGGTGTGTCTGAATGCCCTGGCAGAGCTACGCAGCAGGAGGGCAAGGGACTGAGCAGCGGCCTCGCTGCTCTTGCTGTTGTCAGAGGCTGCAAGCGAGGTTTGGGGAAGAAAAGCCTCTCTCTGCTCTGCTCTGTCCTTGGGCAGCCTCTTGTAAGGCACTTGCAAGAGGGGAAAGGGAAGGAAGAGAGGTGGCCATAAGCCAGGGCAGCTCCACCCCTTGGTCAGGAACAAGCGGTAGGGGGAAGGAGTTGCTTAAAGGCGTGGCCCGGCCCCGCTCCGCTTGCCCTTGCCCTGCCTCCAGTCCGAGAAGCACCACGCTTCAACAAGACCCAAACGTAGGCAGACCCCACAAGAGCTTGACTTCCTCAACTACAGAGGCACAGAACCTTTGTCTTCCTCCCTCTCTTTCCTTGC